TATATATATATATATATATATATATATATATATATATATGTGTGTGTGTGTGTGTGTGTGTATAATTTGTAATATTTCATTTTTAGAATGATTCAATACAAGAAAATAAAATAAATAAAAACTGGGGATGGCAAATACAGAGTTCAATGTTTGAGTTGTTGGTGCATATATTTACCAGAGGTGTATCCATGTACATCCTGCTTTTCACTGTTAGCAAACAGTGTCATGCTAAGTAATTATGACTTGCTAAGTAGGAGTTTAACAACCTAATTTGCATCATTTGCGCTTCAGACCAGTTTGAACACTTACATTTATTTCAGTATGTAGCTAGCACCTTTGACATTAAATATCTCAAACACTGACTAATGTTTTGAAGCACTTAATCCATAAAACTATGTCAGTGACAAATGTCTTAAGACACTGTGAACTAGTTAATGCTGTTCAAATACAATTAAACTAAACACTTTATAATAAGACTGCATAAGTTAACATTACCTAGGCAATAGTTAACATGAACTTACAGTAACAGTAGTATAGGCTAATAAAACACTTTTACAACATTAATCTTTGATAATTTCAATTTCTACATTTAACATTAAGCTATAATATATGCATAATAGTATGTTTATGAATTAACATTAAGGGAGATTGGAAAATGCTGTAAAATTATTTACATTTTAGCTCATGATACACATTAATTAATGTATAGAAGCTTACTGTAAAGTGGTACCACCAAAGTACAGATGGAGAAGCTCGAATTCCATGTGTCAACTGTTTTATGGCCACAGTGATACTTTCATTCTAATAAGGGAGAATGTTTGAGTGCACACTTAAAAACGACAGCCTCAGTGCACAATTGTATCCAACTTAAAATCATTATTTACTGCAGTACTAAAGTTACATTTTCAAACAATAAAATACAAGATTCCTATCTTTATTTTTGGAAGTGGAGTGTTTGGTGTATTGACAATAATTTAATTCTGCAATTTTAAATGCTGTACATGGCCGCTATTGAGTTTACTAACAACACACATGCCACGGTCTGCCACCCTTGTTTGTAATGCAATCGTTCAGCAACAGAAAGTCAAACAGACATTTGGGGAGGAAGAGCACTCACTGTCTCGCTGGATGGAATGGGTTACAGTCACAGTTTCTGAGCTGGATATTTTCTCTTGAATGAATTCCTCCTAAAAGAATGGACCGAGATAAAGACAGCACTGCGCCACATAGGTAAGCTCTCCTGGGAACAGTCTTTCTTCAAAAAACATGTTTTACTTGTTTATTGGTTCTCTAAATAGCACAGATTGCATTAATAGTTGATATCTAATATATAGGCATTTCGCAGATGCTTTTATCCAAAACAACATATATTTTAATTTAAATAAAGCCTGCTAAACATTGCTCAAATTGCCACTTTTGGGGTTTCATATGTAAACTTCACAAACTTTCAAACCCTAGTCCCAATTTATTAATTACTAGGGCTCATTATTAAAAGCAAGTTATGTGAAAGAGGGACAAAAAATAGGTATATATGGTTAGACTGTGAGGAGTTATTATTTACAATGGTTTGATATTCCAATCTGTTTCTTCAGCAAAAAGTTTGGAATAAAAGTGAAGAAACACAGGAAAGGACACAAGGGTGTTGTAATCGCAAACAAAAATGCTCTAGGTAAGCATGAAAGCAAACACAATGTTACATAAGTAAAGATGTAGAGCATTTCATGAGGATTAACGGCATGGTTTTGTTGACAGGGATATTCAAATCTATATATTCAGACATAGGACCGCTGATCCTTACAAAGGTTTAAACTAATTCTAATGCTCTAGCAAACAACTGAACTCAAACTAATGCTCGTAAACTAATTCTGACTGAGCTGGTTTAATCTTCACGTTTTAGAAGCTGAGCCTGAAACTAATCATGACAATCCAGACGTAGACGTACCCCAGCCTGAACTTGCTGAAGCGTCCTATACTTCCTCCAGACAGATCGCTAATACTAAGAGGCACGTTTTTCTCTCCAATCTTTACACAGCGTAATGTGTTATTTCTTGTAGTTTTCGTACAACATGTTCATGTTTTTACTTTTTTTGGACTTAAAAGGTGTAAACCTGTGGCCAAGATCTTGGAAGGTGAAAGCAAACCACAACATTTCCAGGTTAGAGTTCAATATAATTTGAGTAAAAGTTTCAAAGTTTGAACACAGCCTTTCTTATTTCTTGTTTATAGATGATAAAGCTGTTATTCTTAATATTGAAAGCCAAAATCTGTTCTTCCTAAGATCTCCATCAATATAACAGAGGCTAGGCAGCTAGTCGGGGACAATATAGACCCTAGTGTCGTGATTGAAATTGGAGATGAGAAAAAGCAGACGTCTGTTAAAGAAGGAACCAACTCTCCTTTTTACAATGAGGTGAACATACTGTCTTTGATGGACACTTTCTGATAATGGCAAGAATTTAACAGCCATGTTCTTCTTGCCCCAACAGTATTTTGTGTTTGACTTCTTTTGCAATCAAGACTTCTTTTTTGACAAAGTCATCAAACTATCAGTAAGAGCTTAGGCTACTGTATGTAAAAAAAAAAATGGTTTTCTTGACTCAACCTGCAAAGCTCACATTAGTGCACTTCTCCCAAAGGTCATGCACTCAAAGATCATGAAGAGCTACTGTGTGGGAACCTTCAAGATTGATGTTGGGACAGTTTACTCCCAACCTGGTAAACACTTGGTTTGCAGTTGCTCACATCTTCAACTATAGATAGATAAAAGTTCAGAATCTGGCCTGAGATTTGGATTATTGGTTATTCTGCTTGTAAAACAACACTAAATCTTGTGCTTGCTGTGCCAGGCCATCAGTTCATCAATAAGTGGGCCACGCTCACAGACCCCGCTGACATCCGCACAGGGGTGAAAGGTCACCTGAAGTGTGATATCGGCATGTCAGGAAAGGGTGATGTTGCAGCACCATCCCAGAAGTTCAGTGATGCTGAGGAACAGATAGAAAAGTAAGATCTGAGTTTTTTATGGCATTATAAAGATTGAATGTAATATAAAAAAAATCTCTATTTTAAGATAATCATTCTGGACTGCCATGGCAGATATCTAAGAAACCATTTATAATTTAATATACGCTGTCTTGCTTTAATAATCGAAGGTTATTTCAGTGACATTCCTTTCTGATAAACTGCCACTACATCTCCTTGTGTCTCAAAAAAAAAAAAGATTTTGAAAACCTTTGTCCTCCCCCAGGCACCTCCTGCTTCCTGAAGGCTTAAACCCTGAACGGCCGTGGGCTCGGTTTTATGTGATAGTGTACCGTGCAGAAGGTCTTCCCAGAATAAACTCCAGTATTATGGCCAACGTGACCAAAGCCTTTGTTGGAGACACGACAGCCCTCATAGATCCTTATGTAGAGGTGTCATTCTTCGGTCAAGTTGTAAGCTTGCAATCCAGTGCTTATTACAAAAAAAAATGGAAAAAACTAAATAATCTGTCATTATTAATTACCCTCATTGAGTGTTATTTTAGTATTATTTATATATGATTATAGTATTTATTAATTATAATGATATATAGTATTAATAGTAATTTTGTTTATTTTTATTAGTTTTATTTTTATTTTGAATATGTCTATACAGTTTTATTTTTATTTCAATTTTAGTCATTTTAATCCTTCAAATGTAACTTATTTTTTTGTTGAGGCAACATTTCCAATTTTCGTTTTTATTTATTGTTTTAAGTTTAAATTGTTCATCTAATAATTATATTTTATTTTATTTCTGCATTATTTCAATTAATTGGCGTCTCGCATTGTAATGCAGGAGTGCCGCGTTTTTAAGACGGCATGTCAGTTTTAAAAAGTTTAACTGTCTCTTTAAGAACGCACATTGCATAAGAACAGTTGGTGGTTTTTAAAGTTTTGTTTGGTTTGTTTGTTTGTTTATAGTGTGTTATTTTAGTAGTATGGTTAATATTATGGTATACTGGTCAGTAACTGTGGTTGTATAGCAATATATATATATATATATATACACACACACACACACACTACCGGTCAAAAGTTTGGGAACAGAACGATTTTAATGTTTTTTACAGGAGTTTCTTATGCTCATCAAGGCTGCATTTATTTGATCAAAAATACAGGAAAAAATGTAATATTGTGAAATATTATTACGATGTAAAATAGCGTTTTTCTATTTTAATATAGATTAAAATCTAATTTATTCCTGTGATGCAAAGCTGAATATTCAGCATCATTACTCCAGTCTTCAGTGTCACATGATCCTTCAGAAATCATTCTAATATGTTGATTTATTATCAGTGCTGGAAACTGTTGTGCTGCTTAATAATTTTTTGGAACCTGTGATACTTTTTTTCAGGATTCTTTGATGAATAAAAAGTTAAAAAGAAGAGCATTTATTTAAAATAGACTAACAGTATACACTACAGTTCAAAAGTTTAGGTTCAGTAAATTTTATTCTTTATTTTTTGAAAGAAATTAAAACTTTTATTCAGCAAGGATGTGTTAAATTAAGTGATAGCAAAGATTTATATTGTTAGAAAAGATTTATATTTTGAATAAATTCTGTTCTTTTTAACTTTTTATTAATCAAAGAATTCTGAAAAAAGTATCGCAGTTTCCAAAAAAATATTTGGCAGCACAACTGTTGCCAACATTGATAATTCTAATAATA